TCAGAGTCACCGACCCAAGTCAAAGAATTGAAACCTGTTGTCTCAAAGCATGTTGAACAACGTGAACATGAACACAGAACTATACTCAGTATAGCAGCACAGTTTGGGTATGTTATTGAAACCCTTTATTACATTTATTTTAAATCATGGAAAAGAAAGATGTAATAAAGGAATAACAGCTCTGCTACTTCGTTCAGCTGCTAGCTTCGGGGGTCTGCACAGCAGATAACATGCGACCACCTCCTCCTGTCCCAGCATCCTGCTCTGTCAGACCAACCCTCTGCATCTCCTCCATCACTACATCTGTGAATCTTCGCTAAGCTGTTCTTCTTTTTCTCCATCCTTTGTCCAGTATCTCCACTCTGAGCTGTCTGATGGACTCTTTTCTGATCCTGACTGTCCTGGTGAACATCTGAACTTCTGCAGCTCTGCATAGGGACTCTTTACTTAGTCCCTATGGACCCCAAAGCACTAACTAAGCTACAAATGTGCAAACACACACAAACATAAGCATTTTATTTGTATCAGTGGAACATTTTAAATATGTTGTTAAACTGTCATGTGTCAGGCAGTAGGAACTTCTGTTTCAATAGAGGCAGCTGGAAAACGCAGCTGAATTTAAATGGAAAAGAAAACCAAATATAAAGCACTCAAAGCCTCAGTTGCCTTTGCTGCCAACCACAGTGGAGACAGAAGCCTTCCAGAGCCTTGGCAGATATCCAGCATTAGGGACGGAGACCTTTGAAGAGAACATACTGATAAAAGACTGCAGCAAAGGATAGTCTGAATGGTGGCTAAACAGCCTCAACGAACTTCCTAACAAATTCAAGCTGTTCTGCAGACTCAGGGTGCAACAGTGTGAGCTCGAACTATCCATCGACATCTGAACGAGGTGAAACGCGATGGCAGGAGAGCCAGGAGGACCCCGCTGACACAGAAATGTAAAAAAGCCAGACTGGATTTGAGGAAGACAAAATCCTTCCTGGAGAATGTGGCGGATGAGACCCAGCTCATCATTCTACTGGTTACTGAAAACACAATGAAGCCTATGAAGCACAGAACACAGAACCTACACTCAAACAAGGTGCAGGTTCTAAGATGTTTTGCTGCCTTTGGCACTGGAAGCCTTGACTGTGTGCAAGACATCATGAAGCCTGAAGAGTACCAAAACATTTTGGTTTGCGATGCGGGGCTTAGTGTCAGAAAGCTGTGTCTGTATCAGAGGTCATGGGTGTTCCAGCAGGACAACGACCCCCAACATGCCTCCATAAGCGCCCAGGAGAGGTTGGAGACAAAGTGCTGCCAGCAATGAGTCCGGATCCAAATCTGATTAAACGCTTATGAAGAGATCTCAAAATTGCTGTTGGGAGAAGTTGCCCTTCAAGTCTGAGAGACTTTGAGCAGTTTGTAAAAGAAAAGTTGTTGAAAATTTCAGTTGAGGTGTAACCAGCTTGTAGTTGCAGTTATTTTTTCCAAAGGGCGTGCAACCACATATTAAGTTGAGGTTGCCAATAATTTTGTCCAGACCAGTTTTTGAGTCTTTTGTGGAAAGCTGTCGAATTCTGTTCTGTTTTTTGTGTTGATAAAGGACAAAAATACCAAAACATTTGTAATTGTAAAGATTTTCTGGAAAAATTCCAGCCATAGCCGTACGTCTCTTTTCTACTCGAGCACTCAAAAGATTTATACGATGTGTTTCATTCACCCATTCTAGTGTTTTCTAACTAAGATTAGTATCTTGCCCTTGGCTCGTTTCTAATACATCTCCTTAAAACGTCTCAACAAATGGACTCAGACGGATC